TTTTATGCAGTGTATAATCTATTTAATCACAACTACTTTTGTTTAAACAGGCCTACTATAAAGAGTACAAACGTAACACTGGCTTAAAAGCCTCAGTTTATGTTTCATCCTATTTCACAACGCAAAGCATAATGGGAAATAATGGTTGTGGCAGAGACTTGGCAAAACACATCTCAAAGTTGCCAAGGTGTTGATAAGTGATAGCAATACTTCTCTTATTCAATACAAAAATGCTGATTTTTGTTGATGATGTGTTTGGTACATGTATATCCCTACAAGTTTGTTTCTTTTTATTTGCCATACAAATGATGTGTTTTACACAAGTTTGTTTCTTTTTATTGGCCATACAAATTGAATATCCACAGGAGGTTTAGGTCATTCATTATCCCATCTCTTTTTGCAGCTACTTGTTCTGAGAACAGCAGCAGTATAAAGTAGTTTTGTTCTAGTTGTTGTTACCTTCTAAGTGATTCATCGGTTTCTTCACGCATCAGTTTGTGAATCTGCATGTTAGCCATGCTGCAATCATCTGGATTACCACGAATTGTCACKAGCTGAATAAGAAAATAATTTTGCAGGGTATCTTGAATACTATATTGTATTAATCAAAATACACGTTACAAGTAGGAAGAATCTAATGGAGAAAACGTGTAATGGAAAGCTACCAAGAGTAGAAATTTAAAAAATTCAAAAAGAATATAAATATTTGTACAATGGTCATTATTTTACACTGTAGTTTGCAATAATCATCAATCAATAATTTGATGAAATTATGGTACAAACTGCATTGAATAAATTTGTGTAAGGAATAAACATCGCTGCAGTGAAACATAATAATCTAAGAGATAATTAATAAATGGGACGCCTGCGAAAAAACTTTTCAGCAATCAAACACACTTTGCTATCACTTTGTTTTAGATGAACGTTAAGAGAACAATTTTTAAGGTACACTTTCTAGAAGTTAAGCTACTTGTATAGTAACATGTATAGACATGTTACCAGAAATTTCATGTACAAGAGAACAATGAAGAGAATATTACTTTCTTACCTTGTCTATCTCTCTTCTGTCCTCTTTACGATGGATGTCAATACTAATTAAAGAAGATTGGAAAAATGCTGAAATATCATCTAATGACATGGAATTTTTGTAAAAATTTTAGTTCTGGAACCAGTCACTTTGAATCTGGAATACGAAATCTAAATAAATGGCATCCAAATAAGATAAACAGATCCCTTGCTAAAATTATCATAGAATCTGCAATCCAAGAGTACGTAAGCCAAATCTGACAATGTAGCGGATCCCGTGTGGTGGGGAACAATAAATAACATCACAGCTTACTGAACAATAATAATAGATATAAATAATCACTAATACAGTAATTGTCAAAATCAGGGTTCTCAATAGTCACTAATAGTTGGAATAAATCACAAGAGATTGTTTAATACTAATCACTTTTTAGTGAAAATTATTTCTTGTTTTCATGTTAATGCATCTGCGGAAACTCAATAATGAGGCAAGTAATGTTTTGGTATTCTAACTCTTTATTGCTAATCACAAGGCAAACAAGTAAGTAGCCTTTCATTAATCATCATTATCATCATAATTAGGGAATAATAGTTGTAGAAAAATGATGACAATGCAATCAATGTCTTTCCAGATATTTTTGAGCAACATTATTATTGCAGTATTCATCATCAAGTGTTGACAGAATGTAACCATTTGCATAAAGAAAAAATAGAATAAACTTACGAAGTATTTGTGGCCTCTGTGATTTTCTTGATTTTATTTCCACTAGTGCCAATAACAGCTCCAACCATTTTACAAGGAATAAGACACCTAAATAATAAACAAATATATTTTTAAATATTTTCCTTTTTAAAATGTACATTACTTGTCTTTGTTGTATTCATGCAACATAATAATTATCAATATTAAGGTCTGAGGAAAGGCTCATGCCTGAAAAAAAATTTCGACTCTTCTCGCGCTCAGAGGGTTTATTTTGGTATAACTAACAACTTGTATCTGTTTTAAATCTTCAAAACATTGTATTTCTATGAGAAAAATAACCAAGAACTTCGTAAATTCGCGGGAAAATTTGTGCTTTGTTTGTGAAACACGAGATAAAGTCTTCACAGCTTGATCGTTTCAGAGGTCAAACTACCATGCCTTTACTACCTGGAACATGCGAGTATTCGGTTACAATGAGGTTGTTTGCTCATTCAGAATTACCCATTTTAAATACAGGATACACTTCTAATGTTATGTAGCTAGAACTGTCTATTGGAGACAAAACAACGAGTCTGTTGACTGTTTTTCGTGGTCAATTTGAAGCAGAATTTTCCATCTCGTGTTACAGTAATCTCCACATGCTCCGTGGGGTGTTGCAATGGATTACATCATGCTTATATACTACTTTTCGTGGGAAACAAGGACYGATCCAACTCCGATCGATTTCGGCGGGTTTTCAAGAGAAAATCGGCAATAAATCGCACGATATGACGTAATGTGACTYSAGAAACAAAATGGCGACTGGATATTGCGTCTTTGGGTTAAAAATCGTGCAATATTCCGTAGAAATTCGAAGTTTTTAACAAAGCACCGTTTGTTAAACTTTATAACTCTTTCAGATTACATTAGGAGTTATAAGGAGTTATAAGAGCTTAAAGCGTTTTTAAGCTGTTGCTATGGATACGGCTCACGCCTTCACAAACAAACAAGAAGGGTGTTGAMCTGTATTTTTCAAATCKCCAYTATATGTACTTTCATTATGTATACAGAAATGGCATCAACTCCTTATATATATTTTTTTCAAAATCTCTTCAAAATGACACTGGTTTACACTTTCCTCAGACCTTAAATAATTAACATTTTAAAGGACTATGTCAACCAGCATTTAATGTGGTCATGTTTTTAGATTTTCAGATAAAATGGAAGTGACATTGCATGATATCTGTTCACAATCTGCTGCAGTTCATCTGTTGGTTTTAAGATCCAATCTTTTTATTAATGTCTCTATTGATAAGGCATAATGGGATAATAGAAAGTAAGTGTTGGACAATATTATAATGTAGTTTTTGCTTTCAAACATCAACAAAAGCTCTTAAGGAATGCTGGTTGATTATGGTCCTTTAATATCAAGTACTTGAATCTTATTATTTAACATATCATATTTCTGATTTCCTCATTATTTTTGCATTTCTGTGTTAACATGATACTACATGTAGTAACCCTGATGTATGCACAGATGTAAACACATGTTCAAATAAACAAAAACATTGGTAAAACCACTGAAATCTAGTACGCTTCAAAATCTTTCCACATCATTTTGACTTGAATTCATTTTACTGCACCCAAAACAGGAGTCAATTATAATTTACCTAAGATAATAGCCGCCATTTTCTTTACCAGGTCGTCCTCCTCTTGGGCCTCTATACCTAGGTCTACCACCTCTATTTTCCCTGCCGTGATCTCCATGTTCGTGAAGACCTTCATCTGGCATACCATCTTCAGGGTTCATATAAGCAAACTAAATGAAAAAAATCAATACTTAATGCTGTCTAAACTAGGAATTATAATAACACTACATTTTCTTTATTTCACTGTAAAAAACATATACATTTAATATGTTATTAGGGGTTAAAGAAGAAGAAGAATTCTAAGCATAATTCAAATACATGAGTATTTAAGAAAATAAGGGAATACCAAGTATTGCAGAGCCTCAAACCTGGACAGAGACAGTTAGAATAATCATTAGGTGTTATGCTCTTTTAGTAGCATATTAATTGTCAAGATAATAATATATACATTTTAGTTTGACAATGGTAAGAATTGAAGTGTTTTTGACGACAAAGCAAAGGTCAAAATTATAAACAAGATATTTACATGTATGTGGCAAATAATATTATCATCAGTATTGATTTGTAACTTAGAGATAAAAATATAATCACTAAAAAGCAACATTTTGATGAAGATTTACATAACTAAATATAAAATTTTGATCCCAAAAGGCTTTGAAAAAAGGTCTGAAAAAGAAATAYTTGGCATAAAAATAAACATTGCTTATTGTCTCTATAAAGCCTAGAATTATAAACAAAGACGTTTGAACCAGACTCTAGAACCAAAACATTTTGTTTGGATTCATGAAAATATAGCTGAAAATATAGTTTACCTTCAAAAAATCTTTAAATGGTTTTTTCAGAATACGCTTCATAAGAATTTTTGAAGGCATGATGTGGCAGAGATTGGACCTCTACTTTGAATTCTAATCATTGGGATTTATGCATTTTATCCATGACAATCTCTAAGAAACTATTCAAACCCACAAAAATGTCCCACAAAATTTATGTAAATCTATGACTTATAAYGTCCATTAATTGGTCCCACATAAAAGTGAAAAATTAAAACACAATTTAGGTTTGATTACCATTTTGACAAATTAACTCATAATAATACATTTTTTTGTAAAAAAATGAACAAATTGTTGAAAATCACAACTAAGTTACATGTACACTTGCTTGCAAGTTCAAAGAAACAATAGACTTCAAAAGTGTACTGACATGTTTCGTGTGTTGATGATAAGTGATTAGGAATTCATGTATTACCTACCAAGTTTATATCAACCATCTCTACAACAAACGCTTGTCAGAAAAAAATCTTTTATCTATCTATTGATGGGTTAATATCTTTGAACCATGTGCTCTTGTACTATTAATGCTGCATTATTAATAAGAATCTTTTGGTTAAACCCAGCAGGTGCCAGTCGTATTCTCCAAAATATTTTTATTCTTTGAARTTTAAACACTTGTCACAACTAAAGCTACATGTACTACAATTTTATGATAAAAGACTTCCCAATTGTTGCCAATAATAACACTTCTAAACCTACTGACCATGTCTTCCTACATTGTACAATATGCCTTTTTGAAATTATCTTGTTAAAACACCTTATCTCAGTACATGTAATGTACCATGAATTTGAATCCACAAGGGAAAAAAACTCAAACAGTTTAAAAACTCAAACTTCAAAAAAAATCAGTACTATAAATAGAATAGTTAATTGAATAATACCATTGAATGGGACCTATAAACATACAAACATTGTTCCTTGTTTTTGGCAGTTTGAGTGTACGATAAATTTATGCTCTTAAATTTGAGTACACAAAATAAACTATGCGACCTTTGGCCAAAATAAAACACCTTGACTGAAAGGTGTTTTGTTCAAAAGATAAATGCTTTATAAAACAAAGACACGAACACAGCCACATTGACTCCAACAGCAATATTGTCATCAACAAGTCCTGGCTATGTTACTAACAACTGGGTTTATTACCTATATGATCATGGATATATGTCCAGATCTGCTCCTTTCAAGAATTACACCATAATAAAATATAAATCTTTAACAATGTCTGTAGTTGTTTTTACATCTGAAACTACCATAAGCCACCTTAATCCCTACTGCTATTCAAGTATTGTAGTAGAAGCAAGTTAAATCCTCTAAATCCAGCCACAACATATCCACATCATATTTTACTATGCAGTCAAAACACACATAGCCACACACACGCAATGAAACATCGGTTGCTAAACATTCAATGTGTGCATGCATTGTAATGTTAGCATAGAAGGCTTATCTCAGTACTGGTAAGTAGCAATGCAATTATGCACTGCAAACATGGATGTTTTTTACATGTATGCCTCAGATAAACGTTCAGCAAGGAACTAACAGTACCACTCTGAACTTGCATGAAATGCATTTCAGAACTGTACACTGATTTATTTTTTATTCATTTTATGTTTAACTCTATAAGTTACGATGCTCTTGATAAAATTCATTAATTTAAACAAATCTCTTTGGATGAATTTAACCTAACCAGATGTACATGTATATAGCATTGCCTTTTTTTATGTGCCACATCTGCGTTTGTTTTTAAAATGTCATTACTTCTACTATCASATTTTWGGCTAGTTCAACAAGGCTAGTTCAACTATAGTTTCTCTGCACAATGCCCTTATTTTGACTTTCTCTTACTCAAGTAGTACATGCAGTTTGTCTAATCACATTGTTATTGGTAATGCTTCATTATCATGGAAAAACTTAGTAGTAATACATTAACAACCAGTAAAAATCCTTTCCTCCAATAAGAGTTTGTGTAAGAATCAGCCAATCAGAATCTTTTATAGTCGTTGTAGTTGTGGGAGCTTAGAACATGGTTTGTGTTCTACAGACAGACTTCGTTCCAAAGAAAATTCCAGATGTGAGAATAGCATAAAAGTGCACATGTTTACTTGTTTGAGCTCACCATACACTGTATCAACGTCCAGAATATTTAGAATCAAAACTAACCAAAAATGCTAAACATATTCAATCAGTGGATGTATTTGAAGCAAAAGCAAAATAATCATTTGATTTGCAAGAAAACCAGTTACTGCATTCATGCATTGTGTGGCATTTTATCAGAAATATCAATCTTGGGTGGCCATTGTTCAAGTAAAATTACAACAGCGTTTCAAGTTCATGATTAATGTTGCAAACTGCATACCAAAAATCCAGACAGATTTGACAGAGGTCACCGGATACAAGATACAACATACAAGTTGTCTAAGTACTAGCTTCTATTAATAACACAGCAAATGTTGTTGGCGATTAAGTGACTTCCGCATCTAAGTGTATAAAAATAGCAACTACAACTGTAGATCAACGATCATGATGTACATGTATAAAAAAATTCATCCTAAAATACACATGTGCTTTTCATCAAGAAATGAGATAACCTAGTTCTTGTGTAATCTTGAGTCACTGATTCAGACAGAAAGGCCAAAGACCACTAGCACAGGAAATCACTTTGATGGCGGTAACATAGCCCTTTGCTGGGAATAATAATGCAATAATTATCTTTGAAAACATTGAAAATTATGCTCCTTTTTAACTTGCAAGTTGTTTAAAATATTTCTTTGTCGCAAGGATGTAGCGACTCAATCAAAGAAGGTATAGTGGAATTTTCACTGACATGTGAAATACATTTTTGGTTAATTTTTTTAATTTTTACATAAAGTGACTTTAACTGTTAATCATGGACTCTAATAAATCTATTTCCTTTGACTTTATCAGAAGTTTAAAAAAACTGTACGGCATATACATTATTTCTGAAATCTTCCACATTACATACATGTACATGTTAGTCTTTGAACAATAATTAATAATTTCTGTATAAACACTATCCAGACATGTGCGATTACCATAATACAAACTCAGTTCTATAATAAATTAATGTTCTCTAACAATGAGATTTTGACAGTACTAACTCTCAATACAACCATTTCACCAATAATCTGCGATTACTTTCCAATCTGTGCTAATATTCTACACTGAACAATTGTTTGTTGACTTAAATATTTTATTTTAAATATTTTACTCTGTGCATAATGTATCAGCATAATAATTATTTTATTCAACTGGTTTGTAAAAATCATACTAAAATGAGGATATCTCTACAGTTTAATTTAAAAAAAACAATGAATACTGAAGACTGTATGTTATTCTAAACTGTCTGATGGTTTTGCATAGATAAACTGATTATTAAGTGCAGTCATTACTTAATGTTTAGTTCAAACACCTGCACATTACATCTTCACTTACAAAAACAAATAAATAAAATTCAGATTTCTCACTTTTGTACACCTTGTTCATAAACAATGAATCAAATCAAAACACCATTTTAAAATTCACTCTACCAAGAGATGAATATAGATACGATGTTCTATGTTTATGGGTACATTTTGTGATGATAAACATTGATAATAAATGTACTTGGAAAACTGAACTATAGTATGCAAAACTAGATTTATCTCWATGTCTTATTCATTATTCGCCCATCGTTTTTGTTTTCATGGAGTTTTAGATGCAGATGTGAACAGGTTTGGAGTGGTTTAACACTAATATGTTGATGAATTGAGGAATAATCAGTTGTCTTATCTTAGTAAGCCCAACTGATAACATACCTAGAACACCATACATGTATGTAGTATAAAATTGAATTTCATATTTTAGAAATATTCCAGTTTTACAGTGAAGAAACAATATCTATAGCACTTGCAAAGTCATCCTTTGACCATTTTAAGTGMCACACAGGATGAAAAATTCAAGAAGATTATTGACAGTTCCTCTCACYCATTACTGAATTATTTAAACCTTTGTCACGCCATAAGAAAACCACCAAAACAATGTGAACTGCACTGAACCATTTCATGACACACATTTTTCATTCACTGATAACCCCCATGAACCATGTCAGACACTAAACTCAAACTACATGTACTCCTACTTTAGACCATAATTTCGAAACAAGGCGAGCCGACTTTAAGTTACACAATTATTTGGTAATTTTAATTAATCAGAAATAACTGCAAACACCAATACAAACATTTTGACATCATTTTGTCTGTATTACTGAGTAGAAAAGATTGAAAAAATTTCAAGGAAAAAAACATTTGAGTATGATAAAATGCATGTACATATGTATGTATGGCAAGGCACCTACCTCTGGGTGCATAGTTGGATCATGCATGCCACCCTCTGCAAATGCCATTACGGGCRTTCCAGGTACTGCACTGAAATATTGAAGAAAACAATGTTAGGATAATTWTTCTAAAAATGCTGTTAAAATTAATAATAATGTGACATTGTGATCCATTTGTGGAGAAAAGGAAATTGATCTGTGGGACCTGAMAAATTTATTAATTAAATAATCAATTTTCCTTTAGAAAAATGCAGTAATTTCTTGAAAAGTCTGGATAAAACACCAGCATGCCTATCATGTTGTTTTAAACTTACTTATTTATTTATATATATATATACAGCCTTTTGCAAAAATTATGAGAATTGTTGAAATATCTAAATATCATAATATCGAGTGCATGATGGGTAATCCCGCGCGATGCCCTTAGTCCYTTGTCTTTGTAGTTTAGGGTTTTTTTTGGCGACAGACTTATCCGTAGTTCTGAACATTTTCTCGATGTCAACAATGAATTCTTTAGCAAACYYGTGTGTTCCAGACAATATATGGATATGGATATTATRATATTTAGATATTTAGACAATTCTCATAATTTTTACAAAAGGCTGTATATATTTATATATATAAGCTTAACAATTTAGGGTCACARTTATTTTTTTTCATTTTCATTTTTAGCTCAGGATTCAATTACTCAGAGTTTCAAATAAAGTTGAAAGTTTGAAATGTGCATGACAAGCGCTTAAAACCTACCGGACTATTCCATGCGCAAACAACAAAATTTGAGACTTTTCCTGGCATTGAGTACACAGGAAGCCCATGACAATTTAGAATTCAACTAGATCAAAATAGTCTTTTTCAAGGGAATAATTATGAGGCAAAGAAAACCGAGTTTTGGCTCAGACAGAGGCAAGTCAGTTCTGAAATATCTTTAATTAACTATGCCATATTTCCAATGAATCAGTTAATGTTGGGGATGACAGCATACAGCATGGTGACAGAGTCGCGTCTGGTACTGACGTCATGGTAACACTGAACTGAGGAGCACATTTAATAACACAACTACAGAAYGGCATGGTAACAGCATGACAGGTTTGGCACAGCCACGYGAAATCTACAAGAGTGATGCCTTATAAAGCTTAAATCTCTTACTCRAATATACAATTCATAATMTTGAATACTGCACTTTGCCAYGCCATCAATACTAAATTTTGATATTTGAGAGCGYTTTGGATTCTCTCCTTTAAGGCAACCAATTTGTTTGAGAATCTTTTTAAATGCATAAAAATAARAATTACAATTCTATGAAGTAACTTTTAGTTAAACTGTGCTCCAAATGACYTMTGTTTKGCTCTGATGTCAAAAATCATGATATTCAAATAGTTGTTTGGACATCARTGTTCCTGACGGGAGAGAGGTAGGGCATTGTTTTGCTACAATGCAAAAGAAATGAGTAAAAGAAATTGTTGTTTACTTAGCTTGCATACTTGTGAAACTATCAATAAACCCTTCAATATCTCACTATTTACTATTATTCCTAAGAAGCTTTTAAGAAGCAAAGCTGTATGAGACAAAACCAAAGTGCAACAAAACTGAACTGCGCTTAACTCGATGCGATWGCATTTTACAAGGAGATGTTTGGATTTGCTGTTTTTGTTTATATTTGAGCACTCTGTGAATTTAGTACAAGACAAAACATCCATTCAACACCGTAACCAAAGTGAACCTCATTTTTTGGTTACCGCCTTGACTCATTTTCAACCACATACAGTGCCGGACCTTGTACACTCTTAAATGTCGCAAACTACCTTCTAATAAAAGAGTAAAATAAACTTAAAAGATCATTTTGAAGTGTTTACTTCTGACTGTTTCTTAAAATACATGCAGCTACCAGTAATTTCTTGTTTTTGTTTGAAAACCTGTCTTTTCTCCCTTGGATCGCACACGTGCCGGCATAATTTGCTCAGTCTTTTACAAGTAACTACACAAAATTAGCCGCATCAAGTGAAAATAGACGAGACGGCCCTAAAAAAATTGTATAAAATACATGTACGTCTACAAAAAAAAACAAAAAACAAACAATTAACCACTACTTATAAATTGTCAGATAATTTGATCTGTAATTATTGTTTATAATAAAATTTAAATCTTAAAAGACTCTTTGTTGCTTTTACTGAGGACAAAATGTTTTACGATTTCTAAAATGTTTAGCAACACGGCAAATAAAGCATACAACATAAAATTAACCTGAAACAAATGGAATTATAAATCCAACAGCATAATTGTGTAAGCATTTGTAGAGATTTTTTGCCTTTGTGGCTTCTGCTTTAAGAGGGTTTGAAAGCTAAGATTAAGTAAGAGAGYATCTCAATATTGAACTTTAGTCTAGTCAAAAGACAATATCCTCCTTAGGCTGTCTTAGTCTCCTATTGTTACAGTGATAAACACTGTCTGAGTTATGGTTAATTTTGGCGCAACGGTACTGGCCTCTGACAAAAGGTCAGTAAAAACTTGTATGTATATTTAGTCAATGAATGAAACAATCCTCGCAACTCTGTGTTCCTTTTTTTAATTCACATTGCAAGATAAGAGGACATTATGCAATGCTAACTTGAGAACAACTTTTGAGATATTGAAGATCATGTCTGAAAGGGCAGAAGTGCCATAAACGATAGCACTGTTGTAAACATTGGATTTAAACACGTTAGACATTCCGATGTTTTTATTACTAAGTCAAGATATAGCATAATTCAATTGTAAATAGATAGAATTATAAATGATGCTTTAACAAAATCTTCTTACCCTTCACTATTGTTGTGTCCTTCAAAGTCCATAACACTTATTCACCTGTAGCGAGGGAAAACCCGCGTTAGCCACGTGAATTCTAAAAATAGCAGCCATCAAGAAAACATCAAAAGTGACACATAAACAACACAGTCGAAGTCTGGGGAAAGTCCTTATACCRAAATACCAATAGTGCTACTGCTTCGCTTTATCAGAACAAAGAAATATTTGGACTTCGCGACCCAGACAAAAGGTTGTCTAAATTTTTTTTTGCGAATACTTTTAACAAACAGTCTACATGTTTATACACCGAAAAAGATTGCGCTGGTATAAATGTCGCCTTTCACAATGAATTTCCACACTGTTTTGGAATATAAATGGATTTGGTGGTMATACATTCAGATGAAAATACGAAAAGATGGAAAGGAATACAGAAATAACACTCCAAGATAGTGATTTTCTGATTTTGCCCCATGATGGATGGGTCTTGTACAATATGTTTTATTTTTTGCAAGGCAACCCAAGATAAGGCTACATGACCCTCCTTAATTGCTCATTTCAAAACTTATTGTAAACATTAGTCACAATTTGAACAGTCATGTGACAGTTTTGATGTTTAATTGAAGATTAATCTTGATAAAGTGATTGGTATAATATTGAGGTTAACAATATACCAACAAGCAAATGTGTTAAAAGGGACATAAAAAGGTGTATTTTCCCCCTTTTCTATACCTTTTTACTTTCCACACAAACTATKAAGTAAACCTTTCAACATATTTATCATATGTTCTAAAAGTAACTTGCAAGGTAAATCAAATAGTCTTATGCAAAATGAAAGGTATTCCTTGGGGACCTTGGTGGTCTAAAGCACGCCTTTTGCTTGGTCTGCAGGGATCAAGATTGTTGAAGTCAATCAACGAATCTCTCTTGTAAAATCAAGTTAAGTTAACTATAACATCGATGACGGTAGCAAGRAGATTCTGACAATACTAGCYGAGATTTAGTTGGGTTGGTCAACGAGAAGAACAAACTGAAATACCCTTGAGCCGATGACGGAACACGCCTCATGAGTAGTGCTAAATCTTAATTAAAAGCGACTTTCTTGCGTTACAACTCGAAATAATTCAGATAAATTGCGCTTTTAATAGTTCCTGGAAGGTCCATCGAATGTGTGCCTAAATGCTTCCCAGTTCCATTGAATCTCTAAAGACAACTCGTGTTTTTGAGTTGGTTAATAAATTGAAGTTCTGTTGTAGCTGTACTGTACAAGAAATTCAAGCGGTTGTAAGTTAATTTCTTGAATTCGTTCCAAATATCTGAGAAATACTACACCATTAGATGCACATAGAATGCTTCACTCGAGTTCATCTTGCGGGAAAATGTAAACAAATCGTTAAATACACAAAATTAGTCGAATTCTTCAAAGAACTGCGTCCTTCCGAAAGAAGCCGGGGATGATAGTGTTTGATGCGAGCTTAGGGGAAACCACATAATAATGAGCAAAAATTCCTTACACCACTGCAGTCTTTCTAAGCCCTGAAAGCAACGAAAAACACAGATGGTTTGATGGCTCATTGGGTAATACTTACTTTTAACAGTTATGTATCTTGAACAAGAAAATTCAGCGTTGCTACGACTACTACTCTACTACAACTATGGCGAACTGCAATCATATCTGTTGGGAGAGAATTTCAGAGAATTTGTAAAATTACGCCACCAAAAATACACAAAATAGCGGAATACAAGCACTATGCAATGCCTGTTTGCAGCAATGAAATACTTTTTAGAWGTATRAGGATTTCTACAGTGGATATCGTATGAGGAATTTGATTCTCCTCGTACTGTCGCCGAAGGGTAGCGGCTTACAGGCGTTGATGAAGTTTACGCTTGCAAAGCGACTTGCACGCAACTGCTTTAAAGCGTAACAGTCGGTCCTGAAGTTTGACAAATTGAGAGAGTGACAGACAATCGGAAAGCTAGTTGACAGCACATTACTATTTCCCTGAAAGACCAGCAAAGATGAAAATGCCCAAACTGTAACTGATCTACCAGTACCGATTTGTAGGACTTCGGGTGTCCTGCGTACGTCCGTATCAACTTCATCTTCAAAACATCCAAATATTCAGGCTTCTGTTCAACTGTTAACATTTTTTTCGATAAATACTTAGTCTTCTTGAGCTGAGGCATTGGACTTGTAAGGTAGGAACAGGCTTACTTACACTAATCAGCTCTGAATCCATTCACCGTACTCGGCTTTCCTTCGCAAATCAGGCAAACACCTCACCTAGAAGATTGCGGCAAACAAACATGTCAAAACGTGAGTAAAACCAGATTTAGCAAGCCAGAAGCAAAGAGGAATACTTTAGAACAACATACACTACAAGGCCAGAGAAAGGTAAATAATAATATGCTGTTATAAGGGCAGTAGTATTGCAAATTCCTGTAGCAATGTAGAAAACTTTCAGGACCAAAGCCAAGTCCACGTGCCGGTGTTACAAGTCACGTGACCCCGTGACATGTGTCACTCCGATAAATTACCTTAGGATATATTCTAGTCATCTGATTGGTCAATTACCGCCATGTGATAAATCGTACTACCATAAGTGACGTAACTGAAGGTGAATTTAGACCCGCATTTGAAACATCATTGCATGCTTTCACTTTTTAAACTGCTCCTAYTGCATTTCCTATGTCTTGCAGTCCTCCCCGGCTACAGCAGGCCGAGAACTACCCTATGCAAATCGCTCACTAAGTCACTCAGTAGATTACAATGGACAACGATTGTTCCTCGCATGTTTTGCATTTCTATGCCCCGCCCGAGCCAATAAGGTGACGGTATGGTCATGTAAATCACAAACAATTGGCCTTTGTGACACGATTCTGACAGCCAATGTACAAAGAGGTAAACGATACAAAAGATCAAATCGGGCCAGGGTCGCGCTATGTGAACATAGTGTGATGCTTTCGAAACAATCTTCAAAAATGTTGTTTGAATAGCACAACACTACCCATCTTGTCATARAAATACTCGATRTTTTAACTAAGTGAGCTATTCAATGAAGTGTTTTTAATGAAATCGATTTTGTTCAACATTGTAGCTAGTAAACCATCGACAACACCTGTAAGCGCGTTGTTCATATAAACATGGCTGACTATAAAGCAGAAATGCTACAGKGAACTGTTATGTAACGTTTTACTACTGAACTGGTTCTCACGTGTTCAGGGTCACAGCGTGTGTTATTACTTTTTCCCGCCAGTTTTTATGTCACGAAAATGAGCGCCAAAATCAAGGAATCCACCGAACTGGACTGAGTCGAATCGGGGCTGTTGTAAAACACGAAACTGACCCGACTTGGTAAAGTTCGGTATAGTCGTTTTCAAAATAGAAACGGAATTTTTKTCTAGAGATGGAAAATTCGCATTGGACGGAAAACCCATCAAAACAGTTTCCAGGCCGATTTGACCAACTATTTTCAAATAGAAAGAGATTTTAGATTRACTTCAATTAACAAATTACAAATTACGGACGAATATGACGAATATCCCGCGACGGAAAAATGATATTTTTTTTGTTAACAATGTGAAAACGGGCAATAAAACTTCAAGAAGATGTAATAATTGAATGATCAGTACCTAATTTCTTCTTGAACTTGCTTGACGATGATGTATCTTTAGCATTAGTAGTAAAATGTGAGTTTTCGCATGATGTCAGATGAATAGTAAGGTTTTGTTTATACCATCAGATTGAAATGACCGTGCATATTGAGCCAAGTCCTGGTACGGATCACGTACACTACCGTTAGAAGGTCAGAAGGCACGTTTCCTTATTTACATTGTGCTTTTTTTATGAAAACAGTTTAATTCGAAACAACAACAACAACTAAAGTCATAATAGCCCGAGTTAAACCGTTTGTGATACATGATTAAAATATATGAACTAGTAAAACTCCGAATTTCGCACGTGCCGAAGTCCATGCAAATACTCATAGTAAGATGACAAAAACAAAGACTGGAGTTATACACCCCCTATTTGTGAACTGATTTTTTGAGCAAATACTTTTCAGTATGTAAAGATTCTAGATTTTTTGGTGCGTTTAATTTTAATTTCAAGGATTTAGTTAAAACGTCGTAATTTATAAATGTAATTTATCAGTAATCATATGCAGCAGCTGCCTCATAAGCTGCCTAGATCAAGAGTATTCACAACCGCAGTTTTGATCATAGTATCGAATCTGATATACAAGTGAAGCGTACGTGCCCCAGTTTAATCGACCAGAAAAAATATCCAATATTAACTGTACTAAWTGAAAGAGCGCCGTTGGCCATAGTCCCAAATGTCAAGGCTCCGGTAGAGCATGAATTGAAAGTAATCAATGATTTGTTAGCGTGGCTTGTTTTCGCGCACGTTTGGATCCTTGAACTYTGAGTAGAATYTGCCGATTGAAGTGAATATGATTGACAATCGCTGGAAATAGAAACATAACGTGTTTGATGCGATTTGCTAATGATATGATGAATCGTTCGAAATGCACTTCAATTGCAATGGAATCTTTGATCTCAATCGTGTCAATTAATCACTATCATCCAACTGAACATTGACAAAATCAATTCAGTCAGTCCGTCAATCAATCAAAATCATCCAACTGATCAATGATTAACACAAGTCAGTCAGTCAGTTAATCAACTATTGATCTGTTATTATTTTAATTCAATTTTTAATACTATTTACATAAAAGTCTTTTTAATATCTCTGTTATTATCTGGAAATAGTCTTTCTTTTTGCTTGCCACTTGCCTATTCTTTTTTTCACACAATTGATTTTCACAATTTATATATATATCCTTGCAATTTCATTCGTTTTATTTTTGCCCTAGTTATCCTATGGATTTCCGAGGATGGCTTTGTAAATTGAAAATAAAAGAGCTTAATAGCCGTTCTACTTTGAACTACTCGTCTCCGAGCACCGGAAATGCGCAGCGAGAAGTCTATATATATTAACTAGTTTGAAAAGAACATTTGCACGATAGTGTCATATAGACAGCTAAAGCATTACCAGAATGCTGTTCCCACGTGTCTTATTAATATATTAAATGCAATTGCCCCTTTCCACTATGATATCACATAATAAAAGTTTAATTCTTTAAAGCCAATGGTGACAAGAAAGAAAAACTTAGTTCAAAGGCATTTAGTGAGCAGACGAGAATAAATGACATTGCTATAAATAGTACCAGACAAACATTGGTACTTTATATATTTGAAAACTAGAAGTTCATAACTAGAAGAGAATATCGTGTACTGACAGTTATAGTTATGAGCGATTCTGTCCCCCATGCTGTGACGTCATAGTGAAGGGAGGCAATTGTTTGTCAATCACGCTATCCTACAAATGTTGGTTGGAGAGCCGCGAACTGGGTGTAGTGAGCCAGACACTACGTGTACATAGCCAGTTCCCTTTGGAACCGTTCAAGTTAAACTTATGTTGGGATCATTTTGGTCAACCATTTACATACGAACTCTGGGACGATCCTTCTTATTAAAAGAAAGAACTAWCAAGTACCGAGATGATCGCAAACTTCAACGTCCTCGTGTAAATGTATTAGTTAGGGATTGACATAAAGGGCATTTACGAAGACCGCCTCCTTTATCTATGAAGGCCGATTCGGCTATGTCTTTGGCTTTGCTGCCTCTGAAAAGCCTGTCATGGGAAATTGACAGATATCCAGAAGGACATCAATTATTTGGCGCAGTACCATCCTTTGATGTGCGAGCGATGCCAACAGAGTCTACAGCGCTGACACCACACATTCTTCATCTGTTAAGGACAATTTCTTTGATTCTCGGCTTTGGCTATGTCGGTCTTCGACAAGCCTGTCACAGGAATTCACAAAAATGGCCGATCCAGAACAACACCAGATATTTAGCGCAGTACTATTCTTTGATGTGCATGAGATGCCCAAAGAGCCTACAGCGCTGACACCAGATATTCTCCATCTGTAAAGGACGACTTCGTTGATTCTCTTTGGCTACTTCTGTCACGTGAATTCACAGATATGGCCGCATCCAGCGGGACACCATATGTTGGTGGAGAACCATTCTTGAATGTGGGTGAGATGTCCACCGTGTCCACAGCCCTGACACCACACGTACGAACCCTTTACCGTCAAATGGCTGGACAACGAAAAGATAGTATCAAAACTTTTGCGTACGACAAAATCTACTTGGAAAAACTGCTAGACGACTTTAATGGTCGAATCTTACAATATCTCCATTCATATAGTATAAAGGGATAATAATAATAATAATAATAATAATAATAATAATAATAATAATAATATTATCTATACTTATATTTTTATTATTATTATTAATATTTTTATTTTTAAACATGAACAAAAGCTCGAAAGGGATGCTGGTAGACTATGTCCCTTTAATGGTCCGGTACTCCAAGTAGAGGGAATGGAAAGGATCTCTTACCATAAGGAGCAGGGCTCCACTAAACTCTGGCATCGTTTACAGAACCATCCTGATTTAACCAAMGGCTTGTTGCATCTTTTACACGASGTGTAGACTGTGGTTGACGACTGTAAAAAATAAGACGATAAATGCATGATTCCTGAAACTAATGATAACGGGTAATATAAATCAAGCGGAATAGACCTTTTCTGAAATTCAAAATCATAGTGCATTTTGGTCTACCGTAAGCACAAACAACGCCATATATATTTGGCAGCATTAACAAAAGATGTTTGTACTGGACCTAGACCACAATGCAATGCAAACCGCTATTCCAGAAAAGGCCTATGCTGGCTCTCAAACGGTACAGCACTTACCTGGTTCTGCGTGTTAACGACCGGTAAACTGGACAATTTAACAATTTCATTAGCCACTGAGTACATTTCCTGACGTCCTAAGAGATCTGAAATACACCAAAGTGCCGGAAATGAATGCGTAAATACAAAGAACCGAAGGAAAGAAACTAGTTTTTTTGGCGGGTCTTGTCCACACGTGCTCGATCTTTTCCGGACGATCTCGACGCCGTTCTTTACAGTTGATATCCYTGAATACGTGTGAACGTGATAAAACATTTTCTTAGATAAAAATTTCCGTCGACTTGTGGAGTAGACCCCACTAACCGATATAAGACATAAGCCAGTGTTCCTGAGTCTCCTCATTAACCTCGAATCTTATTCTATCTCCAAGAACAATTAATAGGGAAGCACACATTTGGACATCTCCCTTGAATGAAAAATAAAAATACCATTAGTTTACAAAAAACWTTATAGTGTGGCCAAGTGTAACGAACTGTGTRATATAATGGCAATGCAATTCTCGTCTTGACCAAATGTATATTTAATAGCACTGGGAAATTAAATATTGATGAGTGTTTCAACAGAGATATTTGCTGATTTCTTGGGMTTTAGTGTAAACTGCAGTTTGCAAATGTCGATCAAAGTCCCAATGTCACCGTGGAAGCTTTACGGCATKTTTTTTCTTTTCTTTTYTTCTTCTCTTTCTCTTTTTTTGGCMATAAGTAATAATTTTTGATAAGGAAAGTGTAATATGCATTTCTTGTTTCACTGAAAGCTTAGCAAGTTCATRAAGGCTCAATGACCTCAAAAATACCCTGAAATAGCCACAAAGGCGCACAAAGCACTCAGGTTGGTGTTGTGCCTTTAAGATAGCGTTTCAGCTTCCGTTGGTTGGTTGTGAGCTCTCGAGAGTGCCAACAATCACCACCAAAAACGAAAGTAGAAGTTTAATCAAAATCTCACAAAACTATAGTTCTTTTAAAAGGATTATCATGCTACATGTGATGAAGCCTACCTCTTCAGCGAAATAATTMAGAACGTCCATCACTATTGGTGCAAAGTCCCATTTTGGAAGAAACTAAAGAAAACAAAGCTTATCAGATTATGATACTATGAGTTAGCAGCGTGAAGACMTTACCAGGGCCTGGGACGAGTCTTCGGAGACTGGACTCTCTGCAACATTGGGCTCTATGAGAGACCGCTGAACGGAAGCACTTGCGGCATCAGATTCCACATTGCTGAAAATTCGATATTAAAAAAATGATATTCAATCAAATATTATATGGGGAATATTCTATGTACAAATTCGTACTGTTAATCTGTTTATTGGTTAACAATATCTTAAGTAACAATTCATCTTTCATTCGTTTTGATTCTTTTATTCAGTTCTTTTTTACCTGACAGGCGATTCAGGGCGCTCTTGTTCTTGTTCCATTCGAGGTGAAGCAGGTCTAAAAACGACAAAAAACATAACGAAAACGGACTGTTATCCATTACAATGTCTTCTGTCACATTTCAAAATGGAATGGGACAAACGTTGATCGATGGTTAGCAATTACCCATGACTTGAGTAATGCTCCATGACTTGAGTAATGCTTAAGACTTTACCTGTCCATGAAAATTTGACGAGGCTGAAAGGCTTCCTATCRAGATAAACAAACAACGATTAAAGAGYACCTTAGTTTATAGTTGACTTCACRRTAGTCATTTTGGTAWCACTTCAACATAAGTGATATATTTTGCTTGCTATTGTTTTTGGATGATGTAATTTCATTCACGATATAATTTTTTTTTTCAAGGGGGAGGGGGTGAGGAAGGGAAAGGGSGAGGGGAGAGATTGAGACCTACACTCGGTAGAGTCCAGTCTTGACCTGTGTCGTCTAGAGTTGTCTGATCATCAAAGAAGAACTGCCCTTCATCTGGATCGTCACCRAAGAGAAAATCTAAAYAAAACAAACRCAAATCGTTGACACAGATATCTYATGAATKATTYYWAGCGTACCSAATCTTTTTGTGTAGGAGATAAGCGTACACATCGTATCAATTTTTGTTGTACATTCGCGGATGTTCATAACTTAGGATTAGACAAGAATAATAAAACCAACAGTAAGAAATAAAGCGGAGGATAAGAAGAAGATGGCGGCCTACCTTGATTTCCTCCGCTTGCAATATTCATTAGTTTTGGTACTTCATCCAAGCTGCTCGACGAAGAAGAATCTTCATCATCTGTGAAGGATTGATAAAACTATCAATAGTTAATTCACATTCTTTTACAAAGCCTTTCGCTTCAGCCTTTTCTTTTTATCAGACTAAAATGATTCATAATCAAGAGAACGACTAACGTATGCACGAAAAGAATGGAAACAAAAAAGTAAATAACGATCATGTATGCAAAAAAATGATAAGCCTGTCAAGCTTTGGTAAACGTAGCCCGAATCGTGCGAGCGCGTCAATTTTCCCGCCTTTTTTGACAGTTTACTCGGTCAATGTTTGCTGCCTCTCTCAAAACAGGCTTATCTTTTTACWATATAATATATCAATATTATTTGAAATGTTTCGCCGTAAAAGAAAAGACTGGCCAAGACCCTAAAACAGCAAATCGCGCTTATGACATTAAGACATACTCCTGAATTCTCCCTAATATTACCAATACATACCTTGAAACGCAGAAACATCTTGTCTCGATTGTGTGGTAATTGTATCGGATACAGTTTTAGAGCTAACATTGGATGACTGTACCGTTGACGCCAAAATGGCTGTATTTGTAGTTCCTGCAGCAAACAATTAATGAACGTTCGTTATACACATCCAGTTGTAGTAAAACATTCATTAGAAGCTACGACTACAATTACATACTAGACCGCAATCAAGGTGATCATCGCCATCTTGAATAGCGCTTGTTTTTATCATAAAACCATAACAATTCACTCTCTCGTGGAACAGATTTTCCCAGAACCATAACGAGTTATCAAAAATTAACCCATCTAAATTTCCCTTATAAAAACTAAATATTCTACTTGTCCTCTACGTTATCTATGTTTTCCATGCCGACTACATGATACGAAATACAGTGAGGAATATGAGCATACTGCACAAAGAGGGACGTGCCGCGCCGACAAAGATTATCATAACCAGATAGATCAAAAAATGAGATATCATTTTGACATACTTTTTTCGTCTCAGACAGATATTACCATATGAATGKGCGTATCAACAAATTAAGTGCTACTATAAGTAAGTATAAGTACTTCTGTTGTTGATTTTTGAAGCCAGATACGAACCTGACTGGGCCTCAGTATTTCCTAAATTTGTTCCGAGTCCACCGCCACTACTTGCTCCAACAGGTGTAGTCTTAGAACTGGGTACAAGCGACTCCATGTTTTCACTGTAGAGAGTTTTCAATACTGACCATGTCTGCGCATGTTTGTGTAACGAAAGGCCGCTGGCTACCTGGAACATTTCGAGGTTTGAAACAAGATGAGCTCTTTCCATAATGCGTAGGCTAATCTTTTAATCTTTTAAAAGGCGGCAAAATACGAGATACAAAAACCATCAACTTGGCGCCCAACATTGTTCAAGTTTAGGTTCGATGTTTCTCGTTTTACATCGCGCGCGATCAACTTGGCACGAAACATAAATCTCGATGAAAAACGAGAAACAAAGCCAAAATTTGTATCTGAAAGTAGAGCGAAAGTCTACTTTGCCTAATTTTAATTTTAATTTTAATAACCACTTTTTTCAACTCGCAACAGAGGATTTTGTTGCGTGCCAAGTTGATCGCGCACGATGAAAAAACGAGAAACATCGAACATTAAACTTGAACAATGTTGGGCGCCAAGTTGATAGTTTTTGTCAGTACCTCGTATTTTCCCGCCTGCACTTCGGYTTTCATGTTGTAAGTAATTTTTAAAGGAATAAAACCTTATAGTTGTCATTATCACCTTTTTTATCRATTATTATATTAGTACTGCTTTTAAACTGTTTCTCTAGGTCACTTACTTTGCTATTATGTTCGCACAATTCAGAGAAGGACCGTCCACTCAGTTTGTAGCTTTTCGCTAGAATTTTGAAGGAATCGTCTTTCTAAACAAATGGGAAACACAGTGCATGATTCTCTTTCCCATACTTTAGCGAAGGAAACAAAATGGAAGAGAAGTCAGAAAGAGAAAAGAACCTGAAAAGCATTTTTACTTACYAACAGCGTGTTATTTGAAAACACAAAAAGACTACTGCTTGAACGAGCAGTGAAGTTGTCCGAGATATCATGGAATCTCTTTTGAAACGCTASACTGTTGCTTGAYGSTGGCAGATGAAGAGCACTTCGCCTGAAATSAAAGAGAGTATAACTTATTTAACTTTTTCAATTCACTTACATAATAGGAAAATGCTCTTAAAGAGAGTCGCGAGAGTAAGTATAATGAAAATAGCGCAAGGCAGCAAGCACCAGATCTACATACACTTCTTTTTTTAAAGTTTTATCCTCTTTTCTCTTTGTTTTCTTCCCATCCCTTTATTTTTTTCCTATTATCTTTTTTTTCCAGCGTGCAAGGTGTCTTGGATTGTCACTAACAGTACCTACACTTTTGAGACGTTGCTTGGGGGTGCAATTGTTGTTAACTGGTCGCACTTTGCATAGCTCAAATCACCATTGATATTCATTGCTATAGCAACRGGTGGGGCGTGGTCAGCTGGGTGATGCGCGTCACTAAACATGTGTTGATATATAGTACTGTCTTTTGAACATGAAAGGAACACATTGGGATCACGACCACGACTTGTTTGCCGCCACATTATACCTTAAATAAGCAAAAAAAAAATTGAAAACATTAAATTGTAGTATGTGGTTGATCATCGTGTAAGCATTATAATCAGGGGTGCATGGTGTACAGTATGTGCGCACAGTCTAATAGGGTGTGTTGGAACCTGACTTATTCCAGTCAGGGTGGGTTAACCATTGATGTAGRCAATGYACMCAGTRGTGATGGTGTACAATATGTGTGCACTGTSTAATAGTGTGTGTTGGTAACACTTATTCCAGTCAGGGTRGGTTAACCATTGACGTAGGCAATGCACACAGTAGTGATGGTGTACAGTATGTGTGCACTGTGTAATAGTGTGTGTTKGTAWCACTTWTTCCAGTCAGGGTRGGTTAACCATTRAYGTAGGCAATGMACMCAGTAGKGATGGTGTACAGTATGTGTGCACTGTGTAATAGTGTGTGTTGGTATCACTTTTTCCAGTCAGGGTGGGTTAACCATTAATGTAGGCAATTCTCCCTGTGGTGATGGTGTATGATATGTGTGCACTGTTAGTATGTGTTTGCATCATTTATTCCAGACAGGGAGGGTTAACCATTGATGAAAGTATTTACCTGTAGGAGTATCTTTGTGTTCACTGAATGTTGCATATGGTATATATGGACGACGAATATCCCAAACATGAATGTCAAAATCAACAAGCAGGGCACAACTATYAAAGAACAAAATAATTTACCATTGGCCCAACAACAAACCATGCTAYWTCTCCCTCCCACWGACTKTTTTAYGACATCCTCATTGGTAACARGCAGACAATTTGCAGGTAAACTATAYTGACAATTTRATATACCTTGCTAATTGATATTTTCTTTGCGGCCTCCACTTGACACGAGCTACTGATGTTATGGTCTGTATTCCATTGTTATTCATGACTGGTGTATGCTTRGTTTGMACATCCCAAACCTAAAACACAGCATTTAGCTTACTTCAAAAACTCATTATTAAATGCATGAGCTATTAGACCAGACAGAGTATTTCAAATATAGTTCACGTGGATGACCAATAACAGATAAAAATCAGCTAATTGCTTTCTGTAGCATCTGCTTGAAAATATGCATGTGCCTTTTTTACATGTATAAAAAAACCTGCCAGAAACAACAGACTTGTATTCCACAGTAACAAACCTTGAAATAACCTTAGTTTTAAATTCTCTTCACTGAGTACTTTGTTTGTCATCACCAATGATTGAAAAATGGCAGTAAAACAAATAATTTAACTACCAAGAGGTGAATAGAAACAAAACAAAGCTCCAGTCTACTACCAGTGCTATTTGAGGTAARTTAGAGYTAATGTAMTTTGATGGAGCAACCAACCTTGATAAACTTGTCTCTTCCMCCAGTAGCAATCCAGTTACGTTCTTCAGGATGCCAGTCTAATGTRAATATAGGACCATTATGGGCCATGAATTGATGGTAATAAACGTCAGGCCTTCGCATATCCCATAACTACAAAATAAAAAAACTTACTAGATTAATTCAAACTCAAGTCTACGTTAAATATATTAGACAAAACGGAGTTTGTACTAACTCTGGACAAAATCGAATTTCAATAAATGTAGTTGCTATACCTGTACATATCCTGTTTCACATGCAGCAGTGAACAATTTCCCATCAAATGGACTAAACTAAAGAAGTTAAATAAGACAAGTGTTAAACTCTCTGATACAGGGATTATAATTAT